AAACGAAACATATGATGCCAACAACGTTATATAGTTAAGGAGTGTGAAGATGATCTATTCTGCCTTAGTAATGTATTACAAAATATTGATCGCTTAAGAGTTATTGATGAAAGATTTTCGGCCCCTATCAGCCCTTATTTTGAGGGGCAAGTCCCTTTTTCTTGATATCACCTTAAAGCTCTTATGATTTTGAACACTTTTTGTTCAACAACTATTCAGAAATTCTTTTTCGTTTCCGATATATGTGCAAAAGAAATATTTAGGGGCCGTCCCTTCAACTCCTTAATGGGGACGTTTAGCAAAAATTGAAAGGCTACATATTGTTTAGAACATTATCTTAAACATCTTTTGTTCAATATTGCTGATCAAAATATTTCCCACTTTCGAGATATAAAGCGTCAAAGATTTAGCATTCTGGCCCCTTATGGCCCCTAATTATGTAACATATGAGATTTTTATTATAATATATAGTTGTAGATTGTTCAGATAAACATTTTTGCTTCAGTAATATATAACAAAATATTGATCGTTAAAGAGTTATTGATGAAAGACTTTTTGCCCCTTTTGGCCCCGATTTTGAGGGGCCAGTCCCTTTTTCTTGATTTCACCTTAAAGCTATCTGGCCCCCTGAAGACCTTTTATTGCGTAACATATGATATCAACATCATGTTATTTAAACAAAGAGTGTGAAGATGAACTATTTCGGTTCAGTAATATATTACAAAATATTGATCATTAAAAGAGTTATTGATTGTATACTTTCGGTACCTCTCAGCACCTAGTTTAAGGGATCAGACCCTTTTCCTTGATATCACCTTAAAGCTCTCATGATTTTGAACACTTTGTTCAACAATTATTCAAACATTCTTTTTCGTTTCCGAGAAGTATGCAAAGGATATATTTAGGGGCCGGCCCTTCAACTCCTTAATGGGGACATTTAGCAAAAATCAAAAGGTTGCATATTCTTTAGAACATTATTTTGAATAACATTTGTTCAATATTGCTTATCAAATTATTTCCCACTTTCGAGATTTAAAGCGTCAAAGATTTAGCATTCTGGCCCCTTATGGCCCCTAATTATGTAACATATGATGTGACTATCATAATATATAGTTGTAAATTGTTGAGATAAACATTTTTGCTTCAGTAATGCATTACAAAATATTGATCGTTAAAGAGTTATTTTTCAAAGACTTTCGGCCCCTCTCAGCCCCTATTTTGAGGGGCCAGCCCCTTTTTCTTCATATCACTTTAAAGCTCTCATGATTTTGAACACATTTTGTTCAACAACTAGTCAGAAATTCTTTTTCATTTCTGAGATATTTGCAAAAGAAGTATTTAGGGGCCGTCCCTTCAACTCCTTAATGGGGACGTTAAGCAAAAAATGAAAGGTTGCATATTGTTTAGAACATTATTTTGAACATCTTTTGTTCAATATTGCTTATCAAATTATTTCCCACTTTTGAGATATAAAGCGTCAAAGATTTAGCATTCTGGCCCCTTATGGCCCCTAATTATGTAACATATGATATGAATATCATAATATATAGTTGTAAATTGTTGAGATAAACATTCTTGCTTCAGTAATGCATTACAAAATATTGATCGTTAAAGAGTTATTGTTCAAAGACTTTCGGCCCCTCTCAGCCCCTATTTTGAGGGGCCAGTCCCTTTTTCTTCATATCACTTTAAAGCTCTCGTGATTTTGAACACTTTTTGTTCAACAACTAGTCAGAAATTCTTTTTCGTTTCTGAGATATTTGCAAAAGAAGTATTTAGGGGCCAGCCCTTTAACTCCTTAATGGGGACATTTAGCAAAAAATGAAAGGTTGCATATTGTTTAGAACATTATTTTGAACATCTTTTGTTCAATATTGCTTATCAAAATATTTCCCACTTTTGGGATATAAAGCGTCAAAGATTTAGCATTCTGGCCCCTTATGGCCCCTAATTATGTAACATATGATGTGAATATCATAGTTTATAGTTGTGAATTGTTAAGTTAAACATTTTTGCTTCAGTAATGTATTACAAAATATTGATCGTTAAAGATTTATTGATTAAAGACTTTCGGCCCTTCTCAGCCCCTAATGTGATGACTCAGCCCTTTTTCTTTGATATCATATTGAAGATCTTGTAATTCTACACAATTTCTGTACAATATGTTTTAGCAAAATACTCATAGTTAAAAAGTTATCATAAGAAATGTCTCTAAAATTCACTCATGATTTGTGTCCTAAATTTCGACCTCTACCGAGCTTCCATACTAGGCACTTCCGGAAAATATCTAAACCCAGGTGCACAATGGCAATATGTCTTCTATCATCGCTGAAAATTTCAGCGCTCTAGCTTAAGCCGTTTTTGAGTTCCATCGCAGACATGGAGGTCCTCTGAATTTTCATAAAAGGGCGATAACTTCCGACCGGAAGTTATTTTCTAGAAACGGAATTGCCGGAATTAACTTCAGATAGAAAGGTGTCAATCCTGAAAATTTGAAGCAAATCGATCGAACCATCTTCGAGAAATCTTCTGCACAAAATTTGTAAAGAAAAAAAAAAGGAAGAATAATAATAAGAAAAGTGAAAAAGAAACAATAGAATAATAGAAGGGTCTTCCGCTGAAGACGGAAGACCCTAATAATAAGAAAAAGAAACAATACAATAATAGAAGGGTCTTCCGCTGAAGACGGAAGACCCTAATAATAATCTTAACCATCAGAATCAGTAGAAGGTCTTCCGTTGGAAACGGAAGACCTTAACTAGACGAGCTTGTTGCAAAGCAACAAATAAGTCTTCCGTCTAAATTTCAAGGAGATGAGATCGAGATCGAGACACATCTACGGTCATATGAGCAAGAATGAGCCTATTACCATTACTTCCGGTTTGACCGGAAGTGACGTCATTTTGACGACTTTAAATGATCTTTTAGCTGCTGCTGTCATTTTGAACAACTTTGCTTCTATGATGTTATACAAATTCTCAATACTTTTTGAGATATCAGGAAAACACTTTTGGCCCCTCTAGCTCCCTAATTTTAGGGGTCAGACCCTAATTGTTGATATCCTTTGAAAGATCATAACATTCTACACAACTTTTGTTCAATATGTTTTAACAAAATATTTACAGGTAAAAAGCTATTGTAGAAAAAGCGTTGAACATTTTGAAATTTTCGATATGCCTTTTTTCGGACCATAGCGAGCGCCGACGTGTGGCACTTCCGGTGAAAGTTAACTACGTATTACAGATCTACATATGTTGCTCTGTCTTCGCTAAAAGTTTCACGTTCCTGTGATGAGTGCTTTCTTAGAAAACCTGCGGACAAACTGACCCTCCAAAAATCACAAAATCGCAAAAATCTTCGTACCGGAAGTGACGTCATCAAAATAAAAAAAATATGTATCAAGATTTTTTAATGTTCTATTAGACCTGAAAGTTTCATGGAAATCGAACCAACCGTTTTCGAGAAATCGCGTGCACAAAATCGGTAAGAAAAAAAATAATAAGAAAAACAGTGGAAAAGAAACCGAAGAATAACAAGAAGGTCTTCCGCTGAAGACTTAGGACCTTAATAATCTTATTCTTCACAATCAGTAGAAGGTCTTCCGTTGGAAACGGAAGACCTTAATAAGCTTTCTCTTCTGCCTGATATATGCCCATGAGAAAAGATTTTAAATATAATTTAATCATTATTGGGAACCTGAAACCTGATAAAATTGAGTACTCAACCTATTACCAAAATAGTAATATTCTGGATCTTTGATTCAGACAAAAGGGTGGGGCTTAATTGGTCATACATTGTATATTGAAAATACCTTACTTAGAAAATCTAGTTTCATGCTCACTGTTTTTCATGATTATAATAAACAATTAGCCCTCTGTCAAATTTGTGAAATGCATGGCTCGTTCAGGTCCCTGATTTTGGCTAAGTAGGTCATATATTGAATGTAAATTGCATCTGAAAATTTAATCCTTGAAATCTAGCAGATAAACTGTTGTCATGTTAATCATCAGTAATGAACCCTTTAAATAAATTGTAAAATTAATGTTCCCTGATTTAACGTCCAAAGCACGAAGGTAGCCCTCTATGGCTAATATAATTCATAGCTCATGGATATGTAGAAGGCAAAATTTTTCCGATGATTAGTACCCCTCTACAAAATTTAAAAAAACCATGTCACCTGCGTCAAGAATTCAGGTCCCAGGATCGGCTCATAGGTCATATCTTAAATCTATCATGTAGTGCACTGTTCAGAGTTCCAGTTCCTCTGGGTCCATAGTGTCCATATCTTAATCTGCTCGTTATACCCAGATGTCCGTCTAGGCTCATCATGCTCAAGTCCAATAAAACAATAGAAACTGAGAGCAGAACTTACAAGGACCCCTAGACTCTTCAATGTTTTGAATTTTGAACACAAGCCAATCCAAGTTTTTCTCTGTTTAGCGTCCCCCCAACTTTCAAAAACCTACCTATCTACTCGCAAAATAACACACAAGCTAAAAAATAAAGCACAGGGTTTATAGTCATAAAAATGACGCTATTCAAAGGAATCTATTTTCCTCTTAGAAAGATCTATTCTTTACCAAAATCAAGATATTCAATGCTTAAAATATACAATGTATAACATATTGTTGACAAATATTTAGAGAAATTGAAATAATTCAAAGATTTCCAAGAATACACAATTTTAGGACTCCTGATTTTGTTTTTCTGATATTGGGTGGCAAAAACCAAGACGCACGCAGACAGCTAAAGATAGAAAGAAACTTGGAATGGCCATAGTCATTAATTTAAAATCATTTCCTCAACTGAAAGAGGCTCTCACTCTGTCTCTAAATATATACTTTCTTGTACAAATGCCAATCTCAATCACGATTTAAAATGAAGTGCAACATAACTGAAACTGAAAAGATTTTTTTTTATATTTATGTCGGTTTTTATTTTATGATATATTGAAGAGGAGGAAATATTTAAATATACTATATACGTACGTATAATTTCAGAGTTGACTGACGAGAACGCAGATTCATTATGCTCCAGCAAGCTAAGAGAGGAAAATGGGTTTCTAATAGAGGACGCAGATGTAGTTCCGGTCACAATGGAAAATCTTTGTAATAGAATACAGCCACCACCTGTTTACATGGCATATTTAACATATTCTGGTTAGATTTCAATTTTAAATTTATTAACATATATTTTTATAAATCCCGGGTCTCCTTTAAATTTAATAAATTCTGGGGTTTTTTTATTAAAACTTCAAATACAGTTACATTTATACAAACTTAGATTTTATCCATTTGTAAGTGATGAAACTTTAAACGGTCAACTCCTAGTACTTTCCCCCTTATTTCTATGGAATCTTTTAGTTAGTGGACTTTAGTTTTGTTTCTTTCTTCTCTCTAGGTAGGTGTATTAAGTCTTCCTGTTAGCGGTGGCCTGTGTTGTTGGGCTGCTATTTTATGTTTCTTTCTTCTTTCTGTGTAGGTGTAATAAGTCTAGCTGTTAGCGGTGGCCTGTGTTGTTGGGCTGCTATTTTATGTTTCTTTCTTCTTTCTGTGTAGGTGTAATAGATCTAGCTGTTAGCGGTGGCCTGTGTTGTTGGGCTTCTATTTTTTTGTTTCGATCTTTCTTCTCTCTAAATAGATGTGATAGGTCTAGCTGTTATCAGTGGCCTGTGTTGTTGGGCTGCTATTTTATGTCTCCGTCTTCTCTCTGTGTAGGTGTAATAGGTCTAGCTCTTAGCGGTGGCCTGTGTTGTTGGGTTGCTATTTTATGTTTCTTTCTTCTCTCTGTGTAGGTGTAATAGGTCTAGGTGTTATCAGTGGCCTGTGTTGTTGGGCTGCTATTTTATGTTTCTTTCTTCTCTCTAAATATAGGTGTAATAGTTCTAGCTTTTTGCAGTGGCCTGTGTTGTTGGGTTGCTATTTTATGTTTCTTTCTTCTCTCTATGTAGGTGTAATAAGTCTTGCTGTTAGCGGTGGCCTGTGTTGTTGGGATGCTATTTTATGTTTCTTTCTTCTTTCTGTGTAGGTGTAATAGGTCTAGGTGTTATCAGTGGCCTGTGTTGTTGGGCTGCTATTTTATGTTTCTTTCTTCTCTCTAAATATAGGTGTAATAGTTCTAGCTTTTTGCAGTGGCCTGTGTTGTTGGGTTGCTATTTTATGTTTCTTTCTTCTCTCTATGTAGGTGTAATAAGTCTTGCTGTTAGCGGTGGCCTGTGTTGTTGGGATGCTATTTTATGTTTCTTTCTTCTTTCTGTGTAGGTGTAATAGGTCTATGTGTTAGCGGTGTTCTGTGTTGTTGGGATGCTATTTTATGTTTCTTTCTTCTCTCTGTGTAGGTGTAATAGGTCTATGTGTTAGTGGTGGTCTGTGTTGTTGGGATACTATTTTATGTTTCTTTCTTCTCTCTGTGTAGGTGTAATAAGTCTAGCTGTTAGCGGTGGTCTGTGTTGTTGGGATGCTATTTTATGTTTCTTTCTTCTCTCTGTGTAGGTGTAATAGGTCTATGTGTTAGTGGTGGTCTGTGTTGTTGGGATGCTATTTTATGTTTCTTTCTTCTCTCTGTGTAGGTGTAATAGGTCTAGCTGTTAGCGGTGGCCTGTGTTGTTGGGTTGCTATTTTATGTTTCTTTCTTCTCTCTGTGTAGGTGTAATAGGTCTATGTGTTAGCGGTGGTCTGTGTTGTTGGGATGCTATTTTATGTTTCTTTCTTCTCTCTGTGTAGGTGTGATAGGTCTAGCTGTTAGCGGTGGCCTTTGTTGTTGGGCTGCTATTTTATGTTTCTTTCTTCTCTCTGTGTAGATGTAATAGTCTATGTGTTAGTGGTGGTCTGTGTTGTTGGGTTGCTATTTTATGTTTCTTTCTTCTCTCTGTGTAGGTGTAATAGGTCTAGCTGTTAGCGGTGGCCTGTGTTGTTGGGTTGCTATTTTATGTTTCTTTCTTCTCTCTGTGTAGGTGTAATAGGTCTAGCTGTTAGCGGTGGCCTGTGTTGTTGGGTTGCTATTTTATGTTTCTTTCTTCTCTCTGTGTAGGTGTAATAGGTCTATGTGTTAGCGGTGGTCTGTGTTGTTGGGATGCTATTTTATGTTTCTTTCTTCTCTCTGTGTAGGTGTAATAGGTCTATGTGTTTGCGGTGGCCTGTGTTGTTGGGTTGCTATTTTATGTTTCTTTCTTCTCTCTGTGTAGGTGTAATAGGTCTATGTGTTAGCGGTGGTCTGTGTTGTTGGGATGCTATTTAATGTTTCTTTCTTCTCTCTGTGTAGGTGTAATAGGTCTAGCTGTTAGCGGTGGCCTGTGTTGTTGGGCTTCTATTTTATGTTTCTTTCTTCTCTCTGTGTAGGTGTAATAGGTCTATGTGTTAGCGGTGATCTGTGTTGTTGGGCTTCTATTTTATGTTTCTTTCTTCTCTCTGTGTAGGTGGAATAGGTCTAGGTGTTATCAGTGGCCTGTGTTGTTGGGCTGCTATTTTATGTTTCTTTCTTCTCTCTATGTAGGTGTAATAGGTCTAGGTGTTATCAGTGGCCTGTGTTGTTGGGTTGCTATTTTATGTTTCTTTCTTCTCTCTGTGTAGGTGTAATAAGTCTAGCTGTTAGCGGTGGTTTGTGCTGTTGAGCTGCTATTTTATGTTTCTTTCTTCTTTATGTAGGTGTAATAGGTCTCGCTGTCAGCGGTGGTCTCGTGTTGTTGGGTTGCTGTATCATATCTCTTATATGCTGCAGTAAAAGAACAAAGTAAGTTCTAATTTTTTTTTATTTTAATTGAAAGCAAACTGCGAAATCATTTTATTTTTGATTTAGCATTGTCAGTAACTTGAGTGTTTCTTTAAATGAAATTGTGGGTGATTTGAATGAAAAGATGGTATATTGACTTTAGATATATTTTCTTCAGTACGATTATCCAGCTTAAATGCACAGAAAATGTATGTCTTCATACCTCTGAAAAACATCTATTTCTACAAATAAAGTCCAATAACAAGTTTCCTATTTTTATTCAGTAGAAAGAAAAGTAGTATTTTTTACTAATAAAATTTTATTTAGGAAACCAAAGAAAGCGGCACATACTGAAATGACCAAGGTTCATTACTCGCCTGTGAAGAAAAACGAAAATGTGTAATTACTTTCTGAAGAGATATAGTATGAATTCTGAGGGGAAAAAATGAAGGAATGTATAGTGGAACGTTCCTGAGATAACTTCTATCAACCTCGTTGATAGAGGTGGTTGTTTGTATTGTGTTCAAACAGGCAGTCATTCACAGATGTAAATATATGGAATGAATTCGTTATGAAAAAAAACTGAATTCATAAAATGAAAGTTGAGAAAGGAAGAAAGGGTGTTCAGAAGATATTAACAATATATTGAAAGAGTAAAATAGCTTAAATCAAAAACAAATTTGTTTTAAAACATAAATCTATCCTCAAATGAACTTTTTTTTCCATTGTGTTGAAAATTGATTTTTATCCTTGATTAGCCAACCACAAAGAATTATATATATATATATATATATATATATATATATATATATATATATATATATATATATATATATATATATATATATATATATATATATATATATATAGCTGCATGTTTAAATGGGACATTGAACACTACTACTTACCTACTTACATAAATTAAAACTTACGACAATACTCTGTGATAAGATGTCATTATCTGGGTATCTATTGTTACATGTTATCTTTGTCTACATTGAAAACAAAATGACATGGTGCAGATAGACATGTTTATTTATTATTACTAGATGGTGGATATGTGAACGTTGTTTTCATAATGTGGAAACTAGTTTATATTTGTGTAGTGTTGTATCTATTTCTTGATCATGTGACTGGTAAGAAAACTTTTAAAAAGTCTTACATACTTCATCATTGTGCCATTTTGTCATAATATTTACAAGGTGATTTTTAATGCATTTTTTATATCAAAAAATAAAATATATGCAGATACTGAAGGTAGTTTTGTTGTCCACATCACACCGTTATCCTTTATACAAGCCGTAAAAGTCTGTGAGCTTGGTTACAATGGAAAATTAGTGGGAATGTATGACGTCAGCAATGACATCATGAATCAACTTTCAGAAAATACCAAATATTGGACCAATGAATACACTGTTCTTTCCGACTGGATCAATCATGAAGGTATTTTAGAACTGTAATGATCAAAATCACTGTTATTATCTTAGTACCCAAAAACAGTTTTCTTTATTTCTAATAACCAATTTGAAGAAGTAAAAAAAAATATCTAATCTCTATATATTACCAAAAGAAAGAAATATGAGAAAACAAAAATAGTGTATTGCTGCTCCATACCTTTTCATAATGAAGGCTGTTACAACACCAGCATTTTGCCGATTTCGGCTATAATGGATATCTCTATCAAGCCTCACACGGTGGCGTCATGTTACGAGGAGTGTAGCAATGCCAAATTAATTGCTCTTCAGGTATTTCTGCTTTATATGAAGATATTATTTAAAGAAATTGCTTTTTGCCCAATCCAATAAGATTTTTGGGAATAAAATGTTGTTTAAAGTTAAGTAATAGCGCTTTCATTTTCAAGATGGCGGCTGGTTATAATATAGGGAACATAAAGTAATTCATATACATTACAAAAGAATTTTATCAATTTGAGAACAAACTTCATCTTAAGTATATTTACAATACATAACTTACAATACTTATCTCAGTTTTTTTTTCAATGAATTTTTGTTTTAAGTAATTGCTACAAAGTTAATAAGTTCAAATTTGAGAATAGAGAAAAAAGGAATACACTGCTATAATGACTGTACATAAAATATTTTTGATATAAACATGCTCTTTTTATCTGCACTTTTGCACATAGGATGGTAGGTGCTGGTGTTTATCTGGTACTGTTCAAGAATCAGATCGGTTAGACACGTCGCTATGCACGAGCACCTGTACCGGAAAGGACGAGTACGAATTCTGTGGTGGTGAAGAATTACTCAGCATTTATTCCAAATGTTAGTGTTTTGTTTTCTAGAAGCCTTATTGGTCAGTTCTTACATAAAAGATTAATATGTCTATTGTGATTGTAATGTAATCTTGATATTGATGGTTCAATCTAATGAACCATTTTACCAAATTATCGGATTTTTGAATTTCTCGATGCAGTTCAAGAGGCAGATGACTCGAAACTTCACCACAGAAGATGTAGTTATTATAAGTGTAATTCTACTAATCCTAATGGAATACTTGCAGCAGATTTCTGCAATGGAACTCACTCCATTATTTGTAAAACAGGTGTATATTTCCCCTTCAGTTATCTAATTAATGAAACCCATTAATTTAACAATGCAGGTAGACATGTACTTTTTTCCCATTTTTTAATCTTGATCCTCAAAACATATTTTTCATGTATATTTCAAATAAAAAGTGATTTAAATATTGAATATCTCACTACCTGCTCATTTATAGAAATCTTTTCATTGTTTTCAGAAATGATCATAAAAAATCACCATGATTAACGCATATATCCAAATGGGTTTAAATGTATGTATGTAAATTCAGCTATTTCTTACATTATTTTACCCTGTCAACATTCACAGAGAGGTATAACAGTTCCTCATTGAGTATCGACACATATCATGCGGCCGTTGACCACTGTCATACCAATGGAGGTTTGGTTTACAATAATCCAACCACTGGACGTGCACTCTGTGACATTCGAGTCAAAATTTACCACAACAAAGGTTTCTGGACGTCCATTCATCGTTATGAACAGTTTCTGGACGCTGATGATGGTAATTTATGAGATGTTTTATATTTTTATTCAAGTAAATTTGCGATTTTAAAATTTCATTCTCACAGTAATCCAATTTGTTAATTTAAAAAAGGCACATGCCCAAAATAGGAATACATTAACTATTGGTTTACTTGGAAACAAATTATTTTTTCCATGTACATGACAATTGTATTTAGCAGACCTCCTTAAATAACTTTCAAAGTTTGGATACGTTTTTACACCTGTATTAAGAGTAAAGTAATTCTTGTTTCATTATAATTTGTGTTGTTTCAGATTGTTATGCAAGGTAGATCAAATATCAAGCAGATAATTATTCCTAGCAGTAGTACTGGGGAATTTCTTTTCAGGAATCAAAAAGATCGAAAAGTCTTACAGATGTAAGGTCTTGTTCGTCCGAAACAAAGTCATTCAAGCCAGATTAGAGCCATGTTATTCAACGGAAAAACGACCTTTCATCTGCAAATCAGAAACAGGTAAATGTCAAAGGTGTTTATGTATAATAGTTCTATTTTATGTGGAAAATAAAATTAATTAAGTATAGAGAAGGGGATATTGGTCACCTAGGTAACATGCACTTTCTTCTATTTGGAGAAATCTTGCAATTTCCTTCCCTCTATGGTTTATATTTGTCTATTTTTGTTTTTAGTCCTTCCTGTATGTAAAACATTGAACATGTTGGGTTTCCTCCCGAATATTGGTATAGCTGTGTGACTTGGTATCATATTATAGAGCGCAACATTTACTATTGGACCTTTCCGAGAAGCGCTGACTTTACCATCGACGGATTACTTATACACTAGGATAATATACGGAAGCTCTTTTGCAGTATAAATATTTAGCTTAACAGTTAATAGGTCATTTCAAAGAACATTTTATGTTGTCTAGGAAGGGAACGGGTATCACCCTACCCTCGAACTCCTCCCTTCAAATGTTGGCCAACTCTTGCCAAGTTTCCTTCCAAACTGTTTTTTCTTCCTTATTTGTTTCTTTCAGAAATCGAGATTGAAAGAAGATACTACCTCTCATAAATGAGGTATTTTAAGTCATGTTATTCTGCCTCCTATCTTCTCTTGTGTTGATTGCATACCGGTAAATCATCAAACTGTCCCATACCTATAGCCAGTATTAAGGTCTTCTTAAAGTTTATCAATTCTGTACCTCCGTACATAATGCAGGTTTAAATGTCAAAGTAAGCCATCGACTGTAAAAGTCAGCGCTTCTCGCAAAAGTCCATTACCAGCAAACGCAGTTAATTTTTGATGGTAGAAAAATATATATTTTTATATCACATAATCATTTTCAATAAAAATATTTCAATTTAGAGAAAATGGCTAATAGTTGTGGCTTTTATGATTTTAACAAAATTCTAAAATAGCAATATTCTGGTTATTTCAGCATCTCTATACTCTTTTTTTTTTTAGTAATTAAACATATATTTCTAAAAATAATGAAGTTTCACATATCAAAAGCTTGTTTTTCATTTTTAATTAAATTTATGTATCAGTTATTCTATATTTACATTGTAGCTTTCGTATACTTTTTTGCAGAAGGAACCACAATATCATCGGTGTACGCTCAAAACACAAAAACTGAAGGTATGGTGTTTGATGTATCGTTTTTAGAAAAAAAAGTCTAGAAAAGTTTCATTATGTATGTGTTTTTCAGAAAAGGATTTGTGGGTAAAATTTTCTTTAAAAAAATGAAGAAATTGCACATATAAAAAGTTTGTATTTCATTTTTAATTAAATGTAAGTATGTATGTATCAGTTATTGTATATATTTAGCTTTCGTATACTTTTTTTCAGAAAGAACCACAATATCATCGGTGTACGCTCAAAACACAAAAACTGAAGGTATGGTGTTTGATGTATAGTTTCTAGGGGAAAAAATGTTTGGAAAAATTCCATTATGTATGTATTTTTCAAAATAGGATTTGTGGGTATTTTCTTTCTAAAATATGAAGAAGTTGCACATATAAAAAGCTTGTGTTTCATTTTTAATTAAATTTATGTATGTATGTATGTATGTATGTATGTATCAGTTATTGTATATAAAGCGTTCGCATACATTTTTTGCAGAAGGAACCACAATATCATCGGTCTATGCTCAAGACATAAAAACTGAAGGTACATTGTTTAATATATCATATCTTCAGGAAAAAATGTCTGGAAAAGTTCCGTTATGTATGTGTTTTTCAAAATAGGACTAGTGGGTATTAGGTGAAATAAAGTACCTTTCGTACACATCATAATCAATCTTAATATCAGATTTATCGGAATCTGGATAATTGGCAAGGACTATTGTAACCGTTATGTTGTGTGGTCAGTTTCTATACCGCATTGAAAGACTTAAAAAAAAAAAACAAAAAAAAAACATGAGTCTTTATTCTTAAATACAGAGTTTAAGACTTTCTAAAATTTCTTTAAATAGTAATATGACAGATGGATCAGCATTTTGAACGCATATTTAGTTAGTAAAGATTTTTTATGATCAAGACCAATAGCACTGATAAAAATGTTTTCTTTCATTTTTCAATTAAGTATAATATATAAACGTTTTTATCCCATGTTTACCCCTTTATCCCGTGGATATGACTCATTGGATAATTTTTTCGTAATCCACAGTTGTGACGTCACAATGGTTTTTGCGTTAGCGCGATGAAGTAAAATAAAGTGGAGTCCTATATAAAACAGTGTAAAACATTGGTTGTGAAGTATTAAACATGGGATAAAAAGAATCTCCCATGATTTGTAGTTGGATATGACTTTTATCCAACTCGTTCACGGTAGCTCAGTCGGTAGAGCGCTCGCTCCGTGATCGGGAGGTCGTGAGTTCGAATCTTGGCCGCGACAGACCTAAGTTGATAAAAAAATAGGTAGCAACTGTTCCTTCGCCATGCGCTCGGCACTTTGGAGTGAAAGTTGCGGGTCTTTCGGATGAGACCTTAAAAACCGAGGCCCCGTGTCACGGCAGGCGTTGGCACGATAAAGATCCCTCACTGCTCAATGGCCCTGAGTGCCGAGTAAAGGTCAAAATTTGAAGCCCTTCACCGGTATATGGTGACGTCTCTATATGAGTGGGAAAATTCTCGAATGGGACGTAAAACAATATACAATCAATCAAACCAACTCGTTGTGTGTTTTTATCCCCTCGCCAAGGCTCGGGGATAAAAAAAAACACACAACTCGTTGGATAAAAATCATACCCAACTACAAATAATGGGAGATCCTATATATATACTATATAGTACTTTTACGAGGGTTGTTCGGAAAGTTCGTGGACTACTGCCATAACTTTTTTTTACTTGAAGTCATACTATGTTCAAATTTGGTAGAAATGTTCTAACATTAAATTCAAATGACATGTTTTAAGAATTTCAAAACTAACTTGATTTATTTAAAACTAATTTAGAGTTTGAAAATCGGATTGCGGAGCGGGTCAAAATTTTGTAATTGAAAAACAATACACTAAATTATGTCTGTAGTCATATCCACTGTAAAATGGCGCAAAAACGGAAAAATCCTAAATGTTTAAATTAAGAATTGTTAGATCGTTTCATATTCCAAATTATGGTTTAATATTTTGCTTCTTTGAAAAGAAACCGATTTTAGAAGAAAGGAAGTCCTCATTGAAAAAGGAAAAAAAAAAAAAAGATGACGTTGTAGAACGTCACGCTGCAGCAGTTAACGATTTTATTTTGTTTGGTACTCTGGAAAACTCCAGGAAAAAACTCTGAAAATGCTGGAGGAAGTAGGAAATATGTGAAAAGCTAGCCATGCATGTGTGTGTACATGGGACAGGCGGTATTTGAATGATAGAGACTCTGTATCAGAAGAGGACAATCTGTGAGAAAACGGATTATCTGTAAAAAATCTGATCAAACACTTTAAAAAGTTAATAAGGTCATGGTAAGAGTAGGCGCTTCACAGTTGCTGATCTTGTGAAAGCAGTTACGAAGTAAAAAAAATATAACATCGAAAAACAAAATTATGCAACTATAACAATTGTAAGCAAAATAAATTTCCAGTGATAGAGAAACGTTTTAATGAGTGCAATGATATTGGGCCATACTGAAATGTACAGGGGGAGTATTTTTGAGAACCTCATGATGCTATGTTTTTCACGTTACAATGTTGTTGAGTATGCTCCGTGGTTACAAAACATATTGATTTTAAAATTAAATAACACGACTTCTACTAAATCACGTTGAATGAAACTTCACACATCAACAAAATAAATATTTTTACAAATGATAATGTGCTCAATTTAAATTTCTTGAAGATAGAATAACGAAGATTGACACGGTTCGCGAACTTTCCGAACAACCCTCGTACATTGCAGCAGGAACCATAATATTATCGGTAAATGCTAAAAACCGCAAAACTAAAGCTATAGCATTTAGAACATTTCTACCCATAGCTTGGACTTTCTGGTATTACTGACAAGCAACGAGATGACGTAAGCTTAACTTTTTGATCGAATGAAGCAATGCACTAATTACACTTGTTGAAATTTATGCGATATTCCTCTGCTAGCACTTGATTTGGTGTGAAATATACAGTTTATGCCATTGTTTAACTGTTCGGTGTGAGGTAAATTGTATAAGCACGTCACCGTCAAAGGAAAGTCCAAGGTATTGGTAGAATTGTAATATTGTATCAGATACCCCCTCCCAAAAAGAGTAAAACATCAGTTTCAAGTGTGCTTTTCAATTAATGGCATTAGATGAAAGAAATTTCTTTTGTATATAAATAATCAATCCTATTTCCAGAATTATCAGAATCCTCAATATCGGGATTAGTGGCAGGGATTATTGTGACGTCATTGTTAAGTGTAGTCAGTGTATTGGTGGTCCTCATACTAGCAAGGAAAAGGTAATATATTTTAAAGTCTTGTTTAATCACCCTTTTATTTTGTATTCTTTTAATCAAATTACATGTACATAATAGGGAAAGAATATCACATAAATTATTGGTATATGTATATGGACAAAATTTCCCTTCTGTTGAAGGAATATTATTGGTATTTATCAAACATGATATATATTTCACATTATTTGCACAATGCGGTAACATTGCTAAGGTAAGGTTCAATCCTTGTGTAGCGGGTATTCCCGGCAGTGATAGAAAACACAGTTGTAGCTTTTAACTACATGTTTATTACGTTGACATGTCCAGTTAATCAATGGTAGAATATATGGAATAATGGATAATGGGATAATGGAAAATGGATATGTCCTGCAATATACAAATTGCGTCATAAAAATATGTACAAACAATATATCAATTATCTAATATTCTGATCATAAAAATATAACAAATTATCTGTCTTCCCTTTTACAATTAATTATCATATTTATCAATTTAACTAGAGAAATTCTATATAAGGGAGTTAACTCTTACAACATAATTACTCTTAACAGTCTTGTGAAGAGTTATCTTTCTTTTATGTTTCTGTACAAATCATAAAAATATATATATACAGATAGACATACCAATTTATGGAACTGAACTTTCTCCAAAGCAATAATTTAATTCTTTACTTATGGTGTTACCTATGTACAATAAATAAAATAATCAGGATTTGTTCTTTACAAATACCTTTCTCATAATCAATAGATATTCAAATTAGTTTGATTATCAAAATATTCACATCAAAATATTTCTAGGTATATATACAAATTAATTAATGAGAAAACTCCATCAGATTTATCTACATCTGATTATACAGACAGATAATTCAATATGTTAACATTTAAAAGTGAAATATTATGTTTTCCACTTATTTCACATAAATTATAGAAAACTTATCTTAAGGCATAAAAAGATAAAAACTTACATTTTTAGGAACTGTCTTGGGTCTTTGAATAAAGTAAGTTAGCAGCAATATAACTATGTCTTCTCCATTCTAAATCTTGAGCTAATTCTGAATAAAACTCAGTACCCCACAAAGACTAAACTTACAACCAATGAAATCTAACCATTTCAAAATCTGACCAATAGATGTGCGTGTGGTCATGTAAAAGTATATGTACAGGTGTGGATCCAAAGGGGTGTATATCTATGTCACTAAATACCCATGTTAGTACAGAATGAACAGAATGAAACTTTAATAGAAAACTTATCATTTATGCATTTATAACATATTTAATAGTTTATTTAATTTATTTAATTTATATTTAATATTTAAAATCATTTCAACTTTTATTATTTTAATAAAAGTACCTCTACTACACTTGTGGAATAAATAATTTAAGCATTCAGATATTTTTTTTGATTGCGGATTTCTTGTTACATCATTTTTCGATTTTACTTATTTATTACGTCTTAGATTTCAAAGAAAAATGAAAAGAAAACGAACAACGAAATTTACATACAGAAATAATATGGTTACAGTAGATGATGATAATGATAACAACGAAATTGAAAGATGTGAGAGTCAGATAGGAAACAGACACGACGTTAACGATCCCGAGCGGTACGCAAGCACGCAACAGTTTGATCGGAATACTAATGAAATTACTGATGAATATGATAGTGTAAAAAAGTATCCATTGTCAATAATCTCCACGGAAAAGGTGTACGATAACAATTCTCAGAGTGGAGATAGTATGTATTACGAAATGTCCCCGGAGACTGACACACCTGATGACGTCATCACAAACGGGGAGGAGACATCTGCATTATCAGATGCCAATACCATAAGGGTTTCCGATAACCCTTTACCTGAATATTTAGAAAATATTTACGACACTGCAGTAGCAAGTATTGTACATGAAAACTCACTTAGAAAATCTGCAAAGCGATCAGAACAAAACCTGCTTCTTAAAGAGGAACAGAACTGTACTTTAAGTGAATGTGTGAATGAAGTTCCCTACGAAGCCATGGAATCACTGGAAATTCCAGAGGATAATTATAAAGAAATGGCTGGGATATAAATCCGACAAAAAGATTTGTTGATAAGCAATATTGTTTAACAATTAATGCATGCACATGTTATTATGCAGTTTCTTTCAGAAACAGTTCATTACGATTTCATTGACTTATTGTATCAAATGTCTTCCTTATACATGCATGTTATTTATTTAAAATTGTTAAAAGCCCATTTTTACATTCAGTTAGAATATACATGTATATATCAGTAAAAAAAACAATTGAACAAATGTTACACGTATATTTAAGATTTTATTGACACGGAGAAGCAGCTGTCTTGATATAAATGATAAAACTGGCAAATGGAACGAATGTTTAATATCTGTTGTTTATTGACACGAATGTTTATCTGTTCTTTATTGATACGAAAGTTTATCTGTTGTTTATTGATGCCATTTGCTTCTTCTTTGGTTCTGTCGCATTATTCTGTTCATTCACGGATAGATTTACTTTTTCTTCGGATAAATGATTAATTGAAACTAGTTTGGACTTCGGCTGCTTCTTTATCAGTTGGGTGTCATCTTTGTCATTCAGTGTCGAATCACTACCCCTGAAAAAATAATCAGCCAGCGATCATTAAAGAATACAAACCATTTTTTTGGTCATTATTACTCTGCAATCCTAAATTCATAATTGTGACGTCACTTAAAATATATGAACTTATAAATGGTATCACGTGTTTAAATATATGTGGCACTCGTTATTTTCATACATTTTATCCCTGCTTGAACCCCTAGGGCAGTGGAGAACAGACACCACAGCAAAAAAAACAATCAAGGCAGCAACTGCGGCGAACCCAAACTCCATCCAAATGACATTGAGTGGGTCCTCCCAGAAGTCATAGGGACGTTCTGTGGTGGTGGTGGAGGTGGTGGTCGTCTGATACATAAGTGGTAATATGTGGCATTAAAATGAGAATTAGTGGTATTAAATCAAGAGGTTTGCGTGTGGAATCGTCATTTTCGAAACTAATGAAATAATCGCTTTTGAATGTATATATTTACATTAAGTATCCAATAATGATTGAATATTTAAAAGAAAACGACAACCTGTGGAAATATAATGGATACTGTCGCCGTCGTAGCTAAGCCCCCACGATCCCTTGCTATTAGATTAAAGTTGATTATCTCCATTGATGAGAACTTCGATGACAAATCTTTATTCACGGTTATATTCCCATCAGCATCCACAGCAAAGTAAGCATCACCTGCACGGATAGGATAGTTTATTACATCTAAATATATTTTCTTTCTACAAAGTCATTTCGATGGTATTTATGTTACTTAACTATATACAGAGAGCAAAATCTAACCATTTTGTCGTGATCTTAATAAAACTAAATTAAATTAAAAAGAAACTACTTTAGCTGATTTTTCAAAAGTTCTTTTGAAAAGAATCACCACGACTTAACGTGGTGGAACGAATTCTACTCACACGTAGATGTATATATTATAATGGATTTTCATTTGCCAATATTCTGTTAATAATTACCGTGCCATTACTGTCCTTCGTTATACCGGTATCTTCATAAGGAAGTTGTTATACTTAATTTTTTTTGATAAAGGAATTTGTCAATTTTGATGTTATGAGGATGATAGCGCCAACATTCGCATGTTTAGAGCACTTGAAATAAATAAATAAATAAATAAATAAATAAATTCCATTATTCTTACCAAATGACGTCATGTCTACGCTGTACACCACACCGCTAAATGAGGCAGAAATGTCGTTGTCTGTAGCTGTCAAAGACACATTACCAACATGTGTGCCGACGGGGTCAAAAGGGTCAAGGTAAAAGGTAAACACCGGGTACTCGAAAGTCGGTGTGTTGTCATTAATGTCATCTATTGTAATAGTCAAACTAGTGGTAGCTGTGAGTCCTCCCTCATCTCGTACAGTCACTTTACACTTGGTAGTTTCCGGGTGTCCAACATCGCGGTCAAAGTCACGTCCCAGATAAACATTACCATTGGAGGAATCCATTTCAAAGAATCCGGTGTTATATCCGCTACAGTCTAGGGTGTAAAATTTGGAATCACCGCTGTCTGGGTCGGACACTACGAAGTTTGGTAGAGATAATTGTGTGCCAGCCTGTCAATTACATGTATATAAAAAGCTTTATCCATGTAATTCGTATGAAGAGGACTTTTAATGCTAAAGCAAACTGAAAACAGATACATGTGTTTTATCAAACTACTTCACTAAAACTTATTGTCTTATTCTTACTTTTTTAAAAATAGCAAAATCTGATAAATCTAGAAGAAGAGTTCAAGTCATGACTAAAAGAAAGAGGACCTTCTTTCAGGACAATTTGCTTTTGCCGATATTATATCATATTTTAAAGAGTTTCAACTTTTTGTGAAAAAGCTTTACCGTATTTTCATCACCGTTGACGCTGTATGATGTATGACCAAAACTAGGTTCCTCGTTAATATTGATGACATTTATTGTCACTGTGGCGGATGCAGTATCTTTGCCGTCGGTGACGGAAACAGTAAATTTAAAGCTCTTGGACGACATTGTGTCATAATCCAGCGTAGCTTTCGTTTTTATTACCCCCGCTAGAAAAGAAATTCGTGGTCTATACCATTAAAGCTTGGTTATTTATATATACTTTATTTATAAGTCATCAAAAGTATATTGAAATCATAATTAAGTTGTCTTGATATTGTAATACTATAATTATGTGACCTGCTTTATTATTTTTTTAATTTAAAAGTTGTGTGTTCAGAAATTGTACTTACTACTAGCCACTAATGTAAAATAGGACAGACCGGCGGTAGGAGAACTGGACATTGAATATACCAGAGTGTCAGAAGCATCGATGTCCGTGGCGCTCAATACATACACGGTGGTACCGACAGGACTATTTTCTTCCACTCCGAACACTCCCAAACTCCCGTGCACATTACTGAATTGGGGTTTATCATTAATATCTGTAGTACGAAGATGATAATTATCACGGTTCACGAGAAGACGAGTTGTAAAGGAAATATGTTTGAATTTTAAACCTGAGAAATCATAAATGCCGCCTTGTGTTGTAGGGGATACAACGGTTGCGTATATTGTAGAGAAATATACATACAATTCGCAGCGGACCCTTATAAATATGCCTACGTGCAAGTCTGTGTCATTTTTGCATCCATAATAAACATACTTATATTTTACATGTTTAAAAGCAAAAATATACTCAGTGCTTGAAGTTTTCGCTTCCCGGGCATATCACTATATTTTTTTAATGAACGTCTTTGGAACCTCCTTTTGACGTCATTTCAGCCCCAGTTTCTCTGTATTTTCTACGCGTTAGTATACACAAAATGGCATTCATATTTTTCCATAGTTGGTTTAGTAGAAAAACACAGCAATATGTACATATTGGGATATAATACACTGCGTATAACCTTTGATGTGAATGCTCCATGATTTACCACCAACATTTGTATGACCATCATTAGCTGCGACCGTTACATCGTATCCAGGGGTGAAAACAGTGGAAAAGGCAGAAGTAGATGTTATTCTCCCATCTTAAATATAAATTGATAGAATGAAAACTAAAAATAACACCACATATGATATGCTACGAAATTGATGACAGGGATTAATAGCCCCCGATGGTTTGAATGCATCCTACAGTTATTCGATAAGGGACTGAGCAGGAAAGATTTACTGCTTATTGTAGCCATTGGACGAAAACGTTAAACGTCACATCTAGCTATTTACGGTACTTGCTACCATAATAAATACTGGATGAAATCCCGCGCAAGCGCGGGGAATTGAATTTATACCACTAACGACAGAAAATATATAATTGTAGTTTCTACTGACAGCCTACAGGCTTATAGCAGGAAGAAATACTTTGTTCAAAATCCCGCATGAAGTAGATGAATGTCTCCACCCCCCTACCCCACCCCTTTCTGTAAAAACTTGAAAAATAACAATTTCGTTAATTGGCGTTTATTGTGAAACCTGTTATACTTTGTTATGGATATTGTATTTCAGATGCTCTTATTTCATTTCCGTCAAGGATAAATGAAGCGAATATGCACATTTTACTGATAAACTGCATGTTTTTTTTTCGGGGAGGGGGGGGGGGGGATTCACAAATACTTGGGTCTTGCTTTATAAATATGTATGTACCTTATTTATACATAAAAAATGTAGTTTACTTTTTTTTAACATATCAACAGGGTACATAAATATTTATAAACCAAGACCCAAGTACGGGGTCTGTGTAAAAATTAGTTTTTAACGCCCTATGAATAGGCCGAGTATTTGATACAAAAGACTGTATTCAGAAAAAAAAAAACTGAAATGTATTGATTAAAGCACATTTTACACAGCTTTAATTGTATTTGAACAATACCTTATTCATTAATTTTCTCTTTTTATGTTAGCAAGTTTATTACGAAGTACAAATTGTACTTCGGGTTCGTTGGCACGATGCTCTCAGTAAGGAATACATGTATATATAATTTTACCGATAAATTTATCAGAAAAACCTACTACATACATGTAATAGTCTTTCGATATATAAATATATTCAAAACTTATAGTGTTATCAATTATTTACCATTATTTCAATGACCATTCATACAAATTTTTTTTTTTTGAACGATCGCCTCGTTTTTCTTTTTAACATCGGGCTCGATGCTATATGATGTTCTAGAAGCTTCCATCAATATTAAGATCGGTGAATGACGAAAATAATTTCCATATTTCCCTCTTTAATAATCGGTTATCACAACTTATTTCTTTTATATCATTTAAATCAAGTTTTGATTGAATAATTCAGTGATGACGTTTAATTAGATAAATTAATGACTGCTTGTTGTCAGTTTCATTAAAAATTGCCAGTATCTTAGATCCGTCAATCATAAACGCCACCGTACTCACGTTTTTGCTATTTCATGGCTGTTTATAGAAAATAAAAGTAGACTTTTAATTTTATGTACGATACTGACTATGCGAGTGAAATCTAAATATAGTTTACGGACATCATCTTGTATACAGTGTATTGTTATAGGAGTAAGTAAGAACTCTGGTGCACCCGTTTCGGAGTTTATTTGCAAAATTTATAAATTTGTAAGTATAGATAGATATTGCTTGGTATAGCAATGAGACAAGAGACGGTTTTTGCTTGAAACGGAAAACACGGAACCTGATTGCTATAGCAACCTACAGACCTACTGTATGATGTTGAGATTCGACAAAAACAATAAAACCTACTACTTGAAATAGCATCAATCTGCTTACCTCAGCAATTAAGCGATATTTACTGGTATTTTAACGACTAGTCATGAGATGTTGATTGCTGTAGTGTTAGACAGAATGTACGTATTTACGAATACTGAACGATTAGACATTTATACTCACTGGATGCTATAGCGATAGGACAAGAGGCGGGAACACAGGTGTACGTAAACGTCAGGCCATCTGTGTCGGTCACGGAGACTGTGTCAAGTATGACGTTATTGGATGTCGTCTGCTGATCTTTCTCGATGTGCCCTAAAATTCAGAACAAATCATCTAGAACTCCCATTTGTTGTAGCACATTCTACACAAAAAATCAATCATCTGTTCACGGATTTCTTCTTAATAAATAAGAAAAATCAAAGTAGATGCAACCTTCTACATGTTCTATTCTGAAAAGAAGTCTCTTGGCCTTCAATTTGACATTAAGATTTACAGTCGACGTGTTAACATTTATTTTATTCATATGTTGATTCGATCTATCCCATTGGATTCGAAACATAAAAGACATCATAGAGTGTAACAAACTAGAGAAAAACAATGATGGCAAATTAACAACTGAACTTTATAATAAACGTGATGACTTCAGTTTTTCTATTGTCAACTTCTCGTAACATTTATGAAGCAACATACTTTTTCTCCCAGTTGATTCGATATGTAAGTACATGTTCTGCGTACGAACAATTTCTTAACTGGGTAAGACTACTGACAAAATTTGATGTTACATGTGTATCAATAATCTCCATTTGCAAATTCTAATGTAGATAAAGTGACCTTGTTTGCAATTACAATGTGTCGCCAGGTCGAATATTTTTTATGTTTTAATACGTTTGGCCATTATTTTCACGGATTATTTCGACAAAGGGCTCACAACGTGTGTGAAGGGTCAACAGGGGATGAGAACTCCTTCATAGTAACTGTACCTGATCCCATCCTTGATTCTTTCAACGGTCCATGTAGTGTTTTCTCTGTTCTCAATTTGAAATGTTTATTTGGACTTCTGAGTACGAAAAATTTTTAAACTAAGGTTGGCTACTGACAAATAAGTTGATGTTATAAGAATTTCAACAACCTCGTTTAAAGTCAACATTGCGTAAATTCTATATCATGATTACTTAGCAAATACAACCTATCATTGGGTCGTATTTTGACTCACATGTTTATACCAATTTTTAGGCTTGTTTTTAAACTAAAGATTTGACTACGGAGTAGTCCGTCTACCTGATCAATACATAGGGTTCACGGAGAGCGTGACCGGTCTACAGGGGATGCTAGCTCCTGCTAGGCACCTGATCCCACCTTTGGAATTTCCAGGGGTCCGTGTTTTATGCCCTCTTCACATATTTGTATTGTTTATAAATTTTATGAGATAGATCGCTGTTCATTATCTTCATCTATTTCACTGAGCTCGATCTTCACATGTGAGTTGTTAATTCTAGTTGAATTACAATGCCTATTGGCAAAGTAATAGTTTGAACACAAAACAGAACTGGATCCTAAGAAAAACACTTTCATCAAGTTCAGTTCTTGGTTATCATTTTAATCTTTTTACAGCTTGGTTTATATTGTGATTTGTTTTGCTTATGCTTCATAACTTGGAATCAAGTACATTGTTCTCAAAGAACCCAGCTAACTTGTGCATTACGTGCAAAATACGTCATAACAGCCATTCTTTTTAAAAAATATTTTTATAATATTAAAACAAAGAAAGAAATATATGTACACAACCATTCCCCACGATAAATTAAAGTCCAGTCTTTTTGATATCATTGACAGCTGCTTTTTCAATAAAAATGGAACTAGTAAATATACTTACCTTGTCATTGGTCATTTGCAAAATTATTTTGTTAAAAAACATTCTGATTGTACACACAAGTACTCTGAAGTTGACATTAAAAAGATGCTTGAGTTTCTGATTGACAATATCTATGTGGTTTTTGGAGACCAGGTCTTCCAACAATCTATTGGAATTTCTATGGGTACCAATTGCGCCCCGTTGTTAGCAGACCTTTTTTTGTATTCATATGAAGCAGAATTTGTCCAAAATCTTGTACGCGAAAAGAAGAAAACACTTGCTGTGGCGTTCAACTCGACATTTAGATATATCGACGACGTATTGTCAATTAACAATGGCTATTTTCATTCTTATGTCGATACGATATATCCTGGTGAACTTGAGAAAAAAGATACCACAGAGTCTGACACATCTGTTTCATATTTGGATATTTTACTTGAAAAAGACATTAATGGTAATCTAACAACTAAGCTTTATGATAAACGTGATGACTTTAACTTTTCAATCGTCAACTTCCCTTACTTATGCAGCAATATACCTTCATCACCTGCATACGGGGTATATATCTCTCAGTTGATTCGATACGCAAGAGCATGCTCTACGTATGTACAATTTCTAAAACGAGGTAAATTATTGACAAATAAGTTGATGAAACAAGAATATCAGCTGTCTCGTTTAAAGTCATCATTTCGTAAGTTCTATGGTCGATACAATGACCTTGTCAGCAAATACAATTTATCATTGAGTCAAATGCTGACTGACGTTTTTCATACTAATTGTTAGGCCATTATTTACACACTGAATTGTCGACGGATTTTTCTGTTATTTCCCGATCATGACAAGGAGCACACGGCGGGTGTGACCGGTCGGCAGGGGATGCTCACTCCTCCATGGCACCTGATCCCACCTCTGATGTTTGGAGGTCCGTGTTTGCTCTGCTCCTATTTTGTATTGTATAATGGACTTCTGAGCTTTGAATACTGTTCGTTATCTCCATATATTTCATGTACTAGTATACATGTATATGATTTCACAAACAAAATTTAATTTTACTTGGTAAATTAGTGAAGACAGGAAAAGCGTTCTTCTTTATGATTACTATCAGCTGTTCTTCGTCATAGTCCTTTGTATCACTGCATCTTATGTATACGTCAAAACGTTTTGTTGTGTCGTAATCAAATGAAGGATTAGCGTTGATGTACACACCATATGCTGTAAAATAAAGTAACAAGAGAACCATTGGCAGCAAAAAGAGTATATTTAATGTCAAATGTGAAAAATCGGTATCAATATAAAAAGCAGAAGGTCAAAGTTATATAAAAAAAGAGCTTCTTGCATAAGTTTGGAGTAAATATGTACAGATTTTAATTATCAAAGCCAAACAAATCAAAAAAGACATTTTGAAAGCCTTATCATTATGAAAATTACAATCTTCAAACACATCAATATGTATTTTATGAATTGGGCGTATTAACGTACGTTGCTTTAATCAAGAAGTTAAAAATAAGAAAGATTATTACGAAGGGACAAACACATTTGCAGATAGGCAATCATATATGTATCGAGCAAAATAGCACAGATCGGCTCTGAAGAACATATCATTACATGGTTTATACATAAGGCCCACAGCGGGTGTGATGGGTCGACGGGTACGTTTACTCATTCTAGGCACTTGATCCCACTTCTCCTGTTTTCAGAATCAGTGTTTTATGTCCTGTTCACATTTTGTATTGTTTAAAGGATTTATGAGATCGTTCAATATTCGCGTTATCATCAGTTTTTTTTATATAATTATATTAATGTATCAAGCAATCAGTATCATACTTGGCGGTTCAGTAATATTTTAAGAAATGTGTTATCATAACATAACTCAAGCAATATCCAGGAAATTCGAATCAATACACAGTATCTTACTTCCGCTTCCGGCTGTGATTTCTTTGGTCGTGAAGGGACCCCCAGAAGGTGACGTACTAGACACTGTACAACTGATTGTGTCTCCGTCTGTCACCCCCAGGGTGTGGATAAGAGTGGAGGACGTATGAGTTTCTGCTACTTCGTATGATGTTGGTAGGCTTGTTATAACTGGAATCTGAAATCGGCAATCGAGTATTATTTATATAACAGTCATTCTACGATAAATACACCAATTCAGAGTAAAAAACATGAAAAAAATAATTGTTTCAAATAGCAAAATGAACATCATAATTTTCTAAGGGACATATCAGTGAACTTGAAAACAAAGAATTGTCCACAAATCTGGTATCGTTAACTTTTTACAACAATTTCAAGATACCATTGATTTTAATGTAATGTTACGGAAGTTAATGCTTGATCAAGCCTTATTATTTTTTTAAATAAAGCTAAATTTGACCATTTTTTGTTTCTGATGTTCAGTAAAGAACGCTAAAGCATGATTCATGAAGTCTCGCATGAATCCGAATTTAAATTAAATTTTCGGGAAAAATATCGTTACGGAAGTTAATCGTTACGGAAGTTAATTCCCAGCAATAAAAGTTAAAATTCTCTTTAATAGTTAAAATGAGAGTTTGTTTTAGGATATTAAACAAAAGTATGAAGCATTTCGCTCCCAAAATAATAAAAAAATTTCATACCTTTAATGCAAAAACTTTCCTGAATTACCGTTACGGAAGTTAATTTTTTAAGAGAGACAACTGTTTTTGTCTAATTCATTTTGTATGTCGAAAATGTAATCGTCTAAAATAGCTGACTCGCAACTAGAATCGATGATATAAGGTTTCGTGGTCACTTTCAGATAAGTTTCAGTTCTTTTTGAAATCTGCAATCTTTGCGTGAAATTTAAACTAAAATCGTTACGGAAGTTAATCGATTTTTAGCGACATGCTTATGAATTCGCATGAAAGGAGATCTATGCATTTCTTTGCGAGAAGTGGTTTAATTTCTTTTTATATAGGATAAAAGATTCATTGCAATCTATTCGGAACTATTTTACGGCTGAAAATTTCATCTTGAAAGAACTATATGCGGTATATGCACATTTTTGCCCCCACAAAAGTCATATTTTGAAAATTTCTTGAAATGTGCTGAATTGTATATATTGTGTGAGAAATCTAAATTAACAAAAAATATTATAGTTTCGAAGTAGATTATTGGCAACTTTTGTTTTTATGACGTCACAAACTATTCGGATTTCGTGTTATTTTTCAGAAAAAGGGAAAAATGGACAAAATTTGTTCAATTTTTACTATAAAATTTATAGAGCGCAGGCCTGCTCTAGAACAATATTTACATATTTCATTGATATTATCATTCTACACATTATATCAAAATATTGAGTTGGAGCAGACCTGCGCTCGGTGACTTTTACTCAAATTATCCATGTAATATACACTTTTTCTGTATAAATCATTGAAATTTTGAATTTACGTCATCTTTCTGACGTCATATCTAACATATGGCGTCATGGCTTATGAAAATATTCAGTGCTTTGAAGTCTGCAGATATTCCCCTGTTTTAGAAAATAATTATATATTTCTCCGCCAAAGTTTGATTTTGGGGGCAAATATTGGTCATTACCGAATATAGTCCTTTATAAACAAATGAAGCGACATTAAGATTTGCAGTGGAATACGTTTTTCAGCATTACATTGTGTTCATATCAAAACTTTAACTGCATATATATCGGTGAATATTTACCAAACCATGTGTGTATGTTAAGTCTTAGAGTTGAAATCGACCTTTAAATTTATAGTTAAGATATTACAACTGTAAATTTGTAAGCGACATAAAAAATTCTTAATTGGTCATGTTTTTGTAGAATGAATGATAAGCACACCTTCTGAAGCAAGTCGCTTCCAATCCATCTGTTCAATTGACTTTTAATCCTTCTTATCATTAAAATAATATTTTATGGTAACCGATAAAATCGTTTGTAAATGCAGTATGTATTCAAAAACTTCGACATAAAAAGTGACCTCTTGCTAAGGCCTTTAATTCCACATTTTGATATATCGACCACGTTTAACCAATAAACAATATTCATTTTAATCAATAAACAATATTCATTTTCATTTATAAGTGTGATTCGATATATACCATTGAACTCGAAAGACACCACAGAGTCCGACAAGTCTGTTTCAATTTTGGATTCTTTACTGTCTAGAGAAAGACACTGATGGCAAACTAACAACTATACTTGATGCCTTCAACTTTTTAAGCATCATTAATTTCCCTATCACCTACATATGGTGTTAATGTCTCCCAGATGATTCAATATCATTTGCACAAACCTGTTCTACGCATGAACAATTTTTGAAATGTAGCAGGCTACTGAAGAAAACATTGATTAACAAGTGTATCAACAATCTCTTTTCAAGTCAACATTTCATGAACTCTATGGTCGATACAATGTCCTTCTTTGCAAATACAATCTGGGTTAGGTCGATGTTGAGTGACGATTGTGCAAAAAATTATTAGGCCATTATATTTTTATACTGAATTGCCTAGAATTGTTTCGTTTTGCGATTGTATCACAAGGACTTTCTGCTACGAATTCTGCATTCTTGGAATGAAATGTATGGAGATAACGAACAGTATTCAGGCTCAAAAGTCCATTAAACAATACAAATTTTGGAGCAGAGCAAACACGGACCCCTAAAACATCAGAGGTGGGATCAAGTGCCATGGAACAGTGAACATCCCCTGCCAACCGGTCACACCAGCCGTGTGCTCCTTGTCATGATCGGGAAATAACAGAAAAATCCGTCGACAAATCAGTGTGTAAATAATGGCCTAACAATTAGTACGAAAAACGTCGGTCAGCATTTGACTCAATGATAAATTGTATTTGCTGACAAGGTCATATCGACCATAGAACTTACAAAATGACGACTTTAAACGAGACTGCTGATATTCTTGTTTCATCAACTTGTTTGCCAATAACTTACCTCGTTTTAGAAATTGTTCATACGTAGAGCATGCTCTTGTGTATCGAATCAACTGAGAGAAATAAACCCGTATGCAGGCGATGAAGGTATATTGCTGCACAAGTAAGGGAAGTTGACGATAGAAAAAAAGTCATCAAGTTAATCATAAAGTTTTGTTGTTAGGTTACCACTAATGTCTTTTTCTAGAAAAATATCCAAATATGAAACAGACGTGTCAGACTCTGTGGTATCTTTTGTTTCAAGCTCACTGGGATATATCGTATCGACATAAGAATGGAAATAACCATTGTTAATTGATAATACGTCGTCGATATATCTAAATGTCGAGTTGAAGGCCACAGCAAGTGTTTTCTTCTTTTCACGAATAAGATTTTGAACAAATTCTGCTTCATATGAATACAAAAATATGTCTGCTAATAACGGGGCGCAATTGGTACCCATGGGAATTCCAATACATTTTTGGAAGACCTGGTCTCCAAAAACCACATAGATATTGTCAATCAGAAACTCAAGCATTTTTTTAACATCAACTTCAGAGTACTTGTGTGTACAATCAGAATGTTTTTTAATAAAATAATTTTGCAAATGACCGATGACAAGGTAAGTAAATTTACGAGTTCCATTTTTACTGAAAAGCAGCTGTCAATGATATAAAAAAGCCTGGACTTTAATTTATCGTGGGGAATGGTTGAACATATCCTGAAAGAGTTATCATATTTAGCTACACTGATCAAACTTGGATATGATTGAGCATATCACCTAAATCACCGTCTATGCTTTACTGAGATGATGCAGATGACCTATATTTTTCTTTGAGTGATATGGTAAACAATAAGCATATCCATTTGCAGGTAATGATTTACCGGAGTTGCAAAGACGTTACATCTAAGGATATCCATGTTTTAAATACTGCATTTGACATAATGTGACAATTGAGTTAGTACTTAAGATTAAAGATTTGTTTCGAAGTTCTATTATAGTTTAAGAAAAATAAATCTTAAATTCTGTATTACATATGAAACCTTGCACTGACTTAAAAGGTTTATTGCTTTATTATTTTGCAACTAAATTTCTAGGTCATAAATCATTAATATTGGTTAGCATAGGCAGTCTCGACACATATTGAATATGATATCAATTCGAGTGTTGCCACAAGACCTCATAGCATGCCCTATACAGGGTTCGACATTCACGCTCGTGACCTCGTCATTTCCATCCCAGGATGATTTTTGACGACCTGATTTTCAGTCTGGCTCGCCCAAATGACGACCTGGGACGAGTTGGGAATATTCAATAATGATGTTTAATATTTTAAAATAAACTTTACAAGGCCTTGAAAACATTGTTTCCTGTAACCCGACTGACCCATTCAAATAGCAGCCTCGTGGATTTTTCTTTCTGCCAAATCTGTCTTTGATCAATCAGCTGATATAATTTTTACTAAAAGTATTAAATCAAGTTTTATTTGAGATATAAAATATGTCAACCTAGTCAACAATCACCATAAATATAAAGAGTAATGATCATTATTGTAACATCTAGCATTTCCCCCACAACTTTCTGATGTTCGTTTTCTGCTGCTAGACAGCCATGTTGGGTGTCCACTGTAAACATCACACCTGGTTAATTCAGTCCAGGGATGTTTGACCCTATTTTTTTAAAGGCCTTTATGGTAAGTGAAAATGAATGTTTTAAACTAGAAACTTTATTTTGTGTCAATATTGAGGTGAGATTATACATAAGCAAAAAAAAAAAAAAAAAAAAAAAAAAAAAAAAAAAAAAAAAAAAATCCAGACCTACCAACCCTTGATTTATTGGGAATATTACAGGAAACAAACATAATTTTTTAAAGCCTAATTAGCATTCTGATTCTGCTTATCAATATTTGTTGCTTGTTTTCTTTGTTTGATAAAATACTGGAAGACAGCTTTTGACATTCCATAAATGTCTGATTTACATTTTATAATACAAAAGCACAACTTCTATGATCTTAACAAATTTTAAACAATTGCACATTTTTGTTTCATTTGATATTTTGTTCGGGCGACCTGAAATCAGTACCAAGGTTGCCCAAATGGCGAGACCGAATTTGACGAGTGTCGAACCCTGCCTATATATCAATAATTTGATAGTGTACACTGGTTGTCACGCTTCTAGAATCACCAGACTCTTAGGTTGGGAATATTTTAATTACCTGATTTTTTATTACAATACTTAGTGTGCCGGTGGCAATCTTGCCACACGAATCCTCAGCCCGTATGGAGAGAGACTGTGTTGAGCTTGTCAAACTGCTAATGGAGGCAGAAGTTTGTACAGTTGCTGTAAAAGATTTTATTGTTAACAAAATATGAATAAACGACGTCAGCAAGAGTTGAAAAAGGAAGCCTTTTTGAAAAATACACTTTGCCTAGAAATACTTACTTCCGGTGATCGTGAAATAAGCTGATGACGTTGGAAGTGTTAACGTAATACCAGCGTAATCATAGTCGTCATCAGCAGCAGACACTGTGAAGATTGTAGTACCAGGAGCTATGTGGTCGTAGACATGTATTGTTTGCGGAAGATTGAAGAAGTAAGGATTCCCACCTGAAATTTTCCGCCATGTGTTTTCAGAGAAATATTGTATCACGGTGACATATACAGTATTAGGAAATAATGCTAGCAGTCACATAAGCCTCACACTTGTACAGGAAGGATTCGTTAAAAAAATGTCAAGTCTTATAAAGCGTTAATAATTCTCATAATACACAGAACAATTACTCTAGAACAAATATATATATGGCGGTGTATGTAAAAGAATGCTAAAATAAAATAAAATTAAATATCCTGTAGACTTATCCCCGAGTACCGGTGTCGTACAGTTAGACTTCGACCATAGTGAGACTTCCCCCGGAACACTGGCTATATAGTGAGACCTGACCCCGGAAGACTAGCTATATAGTGAGACTTCTCCCGGGGAAGTCTCACTATATAGCCAGTCTTCCGGGAGAAGTCTCACTATATAGCCAGTTTCCCCCCTTCATAGCGAGACTTCCCCCTCAAATTTAGTTTTCGGAATATTTTTTTTAAATTGTAAAACAATTTTTTTTCATACTAAACTTTTCACTGTTTGAATAAAAGTTCTTCGGAGTTAGGGTAGTGACGGAAATAGGGGGATTTAGCTACACTTTTGTCCGCGTGGGATTAATTTACGTACTTATTTAGATAAACGTGATCAACATCGGAAGAGGTTTTTACTCGGAATAAAAATGCATCCGGATTTACCGTCCTCGGCACAAACCGTACATACTATTAGCGGTTGTCGCTGTGACAGCATATGCTCTGTTGTTAGCTGTGTTTCCTACCCCCTGAAAATCGAAGCTCGACCCGACATTAAACACTTGGTTACGGATCTTGATGCTGTCTGGATATAGACTATTCCCATCACTATAGGCTATAAAATCTCCTTGCCTACAAAAGCAACGTGTTAGAATTTATTTTGATCTTTAGGGCTAGCAAATATTGAATGAAATTACTTTTAAAAAAATATTATGTTCTTGCTGATCGATGGTCAAAACAATGATGATGTTTTTGAGCAGCATATTTTGAAAGGCTACTTCAATACCTTTAACCCTACCCATCCACCAATAGTGATGATCGACTTCAATCCCTCAATTCTGTTTGATAATAATTTTGACTTACCATCCAAAATAGTCGTTAGTTTTCACTGTAATCCTTTCTGCATCCGGAACCTCAAACTCTATCAATTCATTCACCGCCCCAGCTGATTAAGAATTCATGTGAAAAACTTGTCAGTTTTATATAAATAACATTAACATTTGCATGGGTAGCCACTATGTTTTCGAATTTCAATGTATAGATGTTATTCTTAAGGAATTATTGGTGTTTTTATAATGTAATAGCATGTTTGCGTAAAATCTTCTAACAGTCGACGACTTCAAACGACAGAAAACCTTGCTTACACGGTACAGTGAACGTGTTTTCTCCCACCACTGTGTAGGTTGTACTGTAACGCCAGACCTGGAATTTGATAGTGCCTGCACTCTTGACCTTAAAAGACCATTTCTTCACAACGCCACAACAACTAAAGCGGTAGTTACCATTCAATATTAATATTGTCTTGGCTGAAAGGAAAAATACATCAATACCAAATTATAAAATGTATAGCGTATGCTAGGTATTATTGCAAAATTCACTACTATCCCTACATTTGGTGTAAAATGATATCAAAAATACATGCACGATAATCAACAATGAAAGCAAATTATATTAATCTCCCAAAAATTCTGAAATGTATTTAATATACCTACTTTGTTTTATAATACAGAAATGAAGAGCCAATTGTAAATGTCTTTTGATTTTACATACCAGCCACATTTGACGGTGTTTGTGAATCCGTCGATGTCCCAAATCCCACCTCCGTTGTTCCACAATCTTTTAACATAAGAAATAAATCGACTTTTGTCATAAAATAGCACTTTTAATAATCTTCGTAATTTGTTTTCAAATATAATAGTAATAATATCGGACAAAATGCGTTATATATAGAAAACATATAAGATTTTGACAATCCTCTCATAATAACTCTCTATAATTTACATGAACAACGCGATTAAAAACAACTCATATACCTGCTGAAAATATCGGTTGAAAATGAACTATAGAAATCAGAGCCACAACATCAAAAATTTCCATTATCCTTACGTAGTAATCATTATGATCTACAAATATTGTTTTTATGACCCAGAAATCACTTAAGACAATTTGAAAGTAAATTTGTTGAGAAAATGAAGTGGTTAATTTCAATGTACAAAAGACACGATGATGTGCATCGATGAACACGATAAAGAGCTTTAAAGTCTCCTACATTTGTCTGACGACTGCAAAATGGAAGTAATTACACACTTTTTGTCCTCCATTAATTTCATTTTATGTAAATAAATATTTTCCCAGTCCGAATTATTTGTTATTTGGAATTCGATATTAAGGTTACTTTGAGAGCATGGAGTTTGTAATTTTTCCTTTTTTTAATTTAGAGTAGAAAAATTTGGTGTTTTGTTTTTTAAGGGTTAAGATAGGATTATCTATTTTGATGAAGTTTTATCTTCGAATAATCAAATATTTGTTCGTATTTTATAAATACTGTCTTAATTATCATATATTCACAAAGCCAGTTACTTTTGTTTTTAATAACACATGAAAGATCGTCTAAAGATTTTAAATTTCCATTTTCATTAAATAAGTGCTTTGTATATAAGATTCCACTTTTCCCAGTTTTGAAAGCAAAATGATTTTCCCTTGTAGGTAAAGATCTTATTGGACCAAATAGGTTGTGTCAAAAATGTGTGTGCTGTATCTAGTTTTGTGTTTTCTTTGCAAAGCTTAAAGCATGAAAAAACTTCTTCTTTATAAAAAAGTGGCATGTGTTGAACAATATCAAATCTTTTTATAACTGTTTCTGGTGTAATTAAAAGATGCTGCAAATCAATACCTAGAGCTTTACAAAAGCTGTTTACAAAACCCTTTATCACATGCTTGGTTAACAGCAGTCTAGGAACCCAGACTGCTTATTGTCGTAAGAAATGCAAATAGGTGATATTACCTATTCGAATTGGTGATATCACCTATTCAAATTGAATAGGTAATATCATCTATTCGAATAGGTGATATCACTTATTCGAATAGGTGATATCACCTATTCAATTCCAATAGGTGATATCACCTATTCGAATAGGTGATATCACCTATTCAATTCCAATAGGTGATATCACCTATTCGAATAGGTGATATCACCTATTCGAATAAGTGATATCACCTATTCAATTTGAATGAGTGATATCACTTATACGAATAGGTGATATCACCTATTCGTATAGGTGCTATCATCTATTTGAATAGGTGATATCACTAAATGTCAATAAATACCAAAACGGTGCCTCATACGTTTGATCTGATGATCCGCGCCTGTCAACTTGATGTGATATGGCTCTTTGGATCAAGTTACTGTTATAATAATATTTATTAATTATTATCATATGATATAATATTAGAAGTGATCTGTGATGTCTAACACTGATAGCACAAAGGTTTTACAATATGTATTATATAACAATTGAAGTATATAGAACTAAAGTACTGTATAAAATACATGCAATTTTCTCCAAATGTCTGTATACCTATGATTTTTTTTTATCCTAAAATACATGTATATTCGTTGATCAATTTTCAACTACAAAATCCATATCGGGTGCTTTTATTTGCATGTCCTGAAAATATATTTGATGTGATAATTTTCCCTATATAATATGATTAACTACATGTATAATGATTAAAGAAATACCCATAGGTAAATATTGGAGGATTATTACAAGTTTACCTCCATGTGGTGAGCTAGATTCATAGATGGTGCCATAGAGTGATCTGCCCTTTGATCAAGAATACAGTAAATTAAAATGTAGTTTATTACTTAATTTGTTATCAAATGAAAGAAAAAGTGAGCAAGCTCACATACCCCACGCTTCCCCAAAACTCGACAATGCAACACGTAATGAATGGCACAGTGCATTTTAAATACACAGTATAATTCAAAAAAGGGGCATTACTTGCAAAAAATCATCACATCAAAACTTCTTGCATATACGGACATTCAAATCTTTGTATGTTACAAATTTAACTGGGCTGAAGTTTCTAGATAAATAATGGAATCAAAATTTCTTGGTAATATACAAATCTATACATTATTCTGAAATACCTACAAAGTTTCAGGAAATTCAGTGCCGGAATTATGCTGACAAACTGTTATTTAAATTCCTCAGTGATTTCGATTTGTTAATGAGTGTAAGTCCATGTCCAACACATGACAGTTTACACATTTAAATAATTGATGGAAACAAAATTATGATGTAGTCATATGAATCTGTTTATATACTGTACTTATGAAATTATTTAAGGCAAAGCACACCAATTTGAAGGGGGGGGGGGGGAAGAGAGATATCGAAGATGGTGTGTGTGTGAGTGTGTGTTTGTGTTAAACCATTAATATTTTGATCTCAAAATCAATAGGGGTCTTTTAAGGTCATAAAATATTTCACATAGAATTTCATTATAAAAAGCTGATTCCAGTGGAGTTTCTTATTACCTAGCTGGAAAGTTTCTTCAATAAAAGGCAAAACTCTTAAGGCAAAAATAATGGAATCGGAATTTCCTGGTAATATGCACATCTACACACTGTGTCCTAAATATCTGCAAAGTTTGTCCAAATTCTGTGCAGCGGTTTAAGAGGAGTTGTGCTGACAAACTGTTCATCTCTATATTCAAGATATGGCCAAAAACCTAAGTTGAAAAGTGCCGAAATTCCCAGAAAAAATAATGGAATCAGAATTTCCTGGTAATATGCACATCTACACATTGTGTCCTAAATATCTGCAGAGATTGACCAAATTCTGTGCAGCGGTTTAAGAGGAGTTGTGCTGACAAACTGTTCATCTTTATATTGAAGATATGGCCAAAAATCTAAGTTGAAAAGTGCCGAAATTCCAAGAAAATATAAAGGAATCGGAATTTCCTGGTAATATGCACATCTATACATTGTGTGCTAAATATCTGCAAAGTTTGACCAAATTCTATGCAGCGGTTTAATAGGAGTTGTGCTGACAAACTGTTCACCTCTATATTCAAGATATGGCCAAAAACCTAAGTTGAAAAGTGCCGAAATTCCCAGAAAAATACGGAATCGGAATTTCCTGGTAATATGCACATCTACACACTGTGTACTAAATATCTGCAAAGTTTGACCAAATTCTGTGCAGCGGTTTAAGAGGAGTTGCGCTGACAAACTGTTCATCTCTATATTCAAGATATGGCCAAAAATCTAAGTTGAAAAGTGCTGAAATTCCCAGAAAAATAATGGAATCGGAATTTTCTGGTAATATGCACATCTACACATTGTGTCCTAAATATCTGCAAAGTTTGACCAAATTCTGTGCAGGGGTTTAAGAGGAATTGTGCTGACAAACTGTTCATCTTTATATTGAAGATATGGCCAAAAATCTAAGTTGAAAAGTGCCGAAATTCCAAGAAAATATAAAGGAATCGGAATTTCCTGGTAATATGCATATCTATACATTGTGTGCTAAATATCTGCAAAGTCTGACCAAATTCTGTGCATTGGTTTATGAGGAGTTGCGCTGACAAACTGTTCATCTCCATATTCAAGATATGGCCAAAAATCTAAGTTGAAAAGTGCCGAAATTCCGAGAAAAAATAAAGGAATCGGAATTTCCTGGTAATATACACATCTACACATTGTGTCCTAAATATCTGCAAAGTTTGACGAAATTCTGTGCAGCGGTTTATGAGGAGTTGCGCTGACAAAAAAACAGGACTGACGGACTGACTGACTGACTGACTGACTGACACACTGACTGACTGACTGACGGACGGGTCAAAAACATTATACCTCACGCAACTTGTTGCGTGGGGTATAATCAAGCATTCATAACACTTTAATAGGCCAAAATGAATAGATAGAACACTTCATTTGCAAGTATTTTGCTCACTTAAGTAAACAACAGTGATTTATGTTCATCTGCACTTCATAGTCTTTGAACATTTTTCCTGGGGGTAAATGCAAGGTACCGTATATTGAAAATGTGATTAGAAAAGCTCAATATTTACACCTTTACCCACTATAATTTTCTCAATGTCCAAAAAATATTTTCCTCTAATGCATAGAGGGTCCTTAACAGAGATAAAGGACAAATTTTTGTTTGTTTGTCCGTGGGTACACTTTTGAGATACACCTCTTATTCTTTGAAAAAAGTTTATCAAATTCTTCTTTTTAAATTAATTTTTTTCAGAGGCACAAAAAAGGAATGATAATTTTATTGTCCATTTCTTATACATACTATAACAATTTTTTTTTCAAATGCACATTTACAATATTAACACATTCAGTTGATAACAAAAGAAATAGCACAATGGTGAAATGTACATTTGCTTGTACATATAACAATAATGATTTAATAACTTTACAAAATATTTATGAAAGCCATAATAATCTGATGCACTGAACAAATTTGCAAGAGTCTCAGCAAAAAATGATTGTGTATGCAAATTAAATAAAACATTTCTGTCAAACACTTTAAATGTATACAACATGGTAGAATGTATTCCAGTGGTTTATCTAAATTTTCTGCAATATCAGAATGGCACATACAGGATATTCACAAGATAAACAAAATTGCAATCACACAACTTTCACATCACATGGTAAAGTCTAGTTTTACTTGCCTATACAAGACAAGAAGCCTTTCACTTCTGACCAGCATAAAAATTGTTTTCTCAATACACTGGCACCAGGAAACACATTACTTCATCTAGGTAACATGTTGGTCAGGATAAAATGGGAAAAAACAAGAATGATCATGTTATGAGGTAGCTTCCTACTTACCGATTCAGGAAAAAATGTCACATGAAAGATGTTAAAACATTCAGAAAGTAAATACAGAATAATAAAGTCATTGCACTTAAAGATGATCATCATTAATTTTTAGTAAGCATCCCTCCTTCCAAATCCAAGCCCCCCCCCCCCCCCAAAAAAAAAATACATGTAAAAAAAATACATCATACTCACAAGATTTATCATTAAAAAAAAATCAAATTGGTCTGATGTAGAAAATCATGGGTACAAACATGCATATAGAATGACTTCAGCCAATAAATGAGAAGTGGGTTATTAGGTCATTTTTTGGTTAGCATGACAACACACATTTATATCACAGCTGCAGAAATGTCCAGTGTTTATTATTTGTCGTCCAGCACTATTCAGCAGAAAGATGATCCATGCATAACAGCAAAATCTCCAATCTGAGCCTCTACATGGAGAATGGAGGCATTTTTCTGTTTTTGGATTTCTCTTGTATTAGGGACTTTGTCAGTTCACTGAGCCGTTAGCATGACTGTAGTCTCCGGATGCACTGATGGCCAGCTTAGTGGATTCTGCAGTATTGACATCAAACACTTCCTGGATAGCTTGTTGGAAGCACATAAAATTGTAGTCTATAACTCCTAAAATTGGACAGAAAATATATTATATTGCCTGTTGGACCATAAGGTAATACGTTATATTTCCACTATGGAAGAGTTTTACTTCTTAGTGCGCTCTTTTGTGAAAAAGTCGGAAAATGTACAAATCTCGCGGGATTTCAGGGACAAATGTAACGTAAACATGTAAACAATATGTTGAATGTCGATGAACAAATCCTAAGAAAATGCAAATGAAATATTTTATTGTTGTAGACTTTATATACATCAAGAGTAGGAATGACAACGATATCAATTTATATCTATTGTTGATCGTATGTATCTATTTATCGTATGGTACATCTAAATACAATACACATGCCTTGGAAATGTCGTATTTTTTATTAATAGATGATAAATTTAGGGTTCTCGCTCTCTTACATATGTCTTTTAGTTCTTCTATTCTTTAATTGGAATGACAAATACATTTAACATTAAAAATTGGATTGAGATTGGCATGTTTTGTATTATCCGCAACGCCATGCTGTCCCTATCAGACGACCAAACGCGCCTCTAATTTTGAAGAGTTCACTAATGGAAATAGAACGTATTAATATATGGACAGAGGCAATTTCTTCCCTACTTGCTACAAAGTTATCAGGGTACATGTACATTGTAACTTAGTTTTAAACCTGTTACAGAGATTAGATGGTGGTCAGAGAAAAAAGCCTATCTGTTTTAAGATACAAATGTTAAGGTCTCATACAAGGATACTTAGTATATAAAATATTTACAGTCTTACAAATTAATACATTTCTCTTGTTATTTCATTTCCTATTTTCAATAGATCTACCAATACCATGAATACTGGTAGAGATGTTTAGTTCACAGACTGCATAATTCATTTTCAAATCATAGTACATGTATTTTAAAAAAAAAAAAAAAAATCACATTTTATTATTCTTGCAGAAAGATGATTACCAGTACATTTTACTACAAAATTTATTTACATAATAAGCTATATAAGTATAGTAGATGCATCAAATAGAGAGTGTTCATGAAGTCTACCTTGTTTTTCAAAACTGTCCTCCCTGAGTATACAGACTAGAGCTAAATACTTGTTGACTTCCCGTAAATATAGAATAGTCCCATTATTAAGCTTAATAGTTGACCTGGTTTTCTCATCAAATGCTGCATCATCTCTTTGGCTACAAATGGAAATTAAGTTTTGTCATAATTACAAAGGTCCATAACTCATTTTTACAAACTGCTTCTTAAGAATCTTTTCATGGAGTGGACAAAACCAAATCCTCCAAAAAACACCTTTACACAGATATATTTACATTTCCAATGTCTTTGTCCGAGATAAAATTACAAATTGTAAAAATACTTTATTTCTACATAAATCTACTGGTTCATCGATAGGCGCAGTTAAAAAAAAATCACTATTAGCACGGGAATTTGCAGAATCAGGAGCATGTAAATATAAGGAATAACTGTCAGATTTTTTGGATTCATGACGATGATCAATCGATTGGCTTGCCTGATAATTTTATGCATAAACGCCTTCGGCGTTTATGCAAATTATCACGCAAGCCACTCAATTGATCACATCATGAATCCAAAAAATAAGACAGTTATTCCTTAATTACATGTACGCCTGTATTGTTCTTGTTTACTAATTTTCAAGTACAGTAGTAGTAAGCTATGTACTCATTCTAACATTAATGCTTAAAAAAAAAAAAGAATATTGAAGTGGCATACAACCTTCCTACAGATATCACAAAAAGACCCTATAGTTTACACCAGCAACAGCTTACTTAAATACATCGCATGAATAAATGATAAACAAATTCAGACAGAGTTAATGTTGACATTATATAAAGTATCTAATTTAATGTACTACTCTTTCATGATTTTAACTGTGCTTTTTCTTGAAATTGTTTCAATAGAATTTACCCATATATTGACGAGAGGTCAATTACAACATCAATCATATCACAGCATAATTCATACGACTGCATATCTACCGCTGAGCTGTCAGTAGCCAGGTATATCTTGCACACTACGTCAAACAGGAAAGCTTTCTCCAGACCCGAATTCTAAAAAAATAAATGTTTTTTTAATGCTTTCTATACAGCCAAATGACAGAATCCTCAATTTAATAATTCTTGGATGGAAGTTGGCATAATTTTATCAACAACTTACAGAGATGAGTATATTAAGTAAATTCTCCATAACCGGCAGCTGAGGAATTAATTTCTGTACCACCTTACTGAACGCCTCGAATATAGAGTGATCGTATATACTGGTTAGTGAAAAGCTGAAAAATAAAAATAAAATCAATTTTGCTTCAAAAATAGTACGTATAGAGAATTAACTACAAACAAAATCATGCTGTAGCATCTGTCTTTAACATACTTTAAAATGTTAATACATGTATTCCCTTATCAATGTGACACTTTTTTGCCTAAAACTTTTTATTAAAATAAAATGTTTCCTCTTCATTTAAGATCACCTCATCTATCCACTTTATTATTTTAGATAGGGCCGATCATATATGGTTTAAAATGCATACTGGATAAACTGTGTTTGTGTCTTTGATGGTCTAACCCCTACCTAAGGTGGATATTTTCCAGACCATCGTCCGCCAAGTTATCATTAGCTCGCTGATATATGTCCCTTTGGGTCTCAATTCTGTGGTCATCAGATAAACCGTCCACTTTATGGATAAACACCTCAAACTTAATGTCAGGGTTGATTCCGAAGGCCTTAGACACAGTGGTGTGGAGTTTGGCGAGGGCATCTGTGTATTCATCCTTCAACAGAGAGAGATAATTGTAATAACTGATACTGGTGTATGTACATGCGACTCTCATGATAGATAATTTACTCATAAATTTTCTTCTGCTTTAAATTGTTAATAAATTCGTTCAGAATTCATAGAGAAGTTGTAAAAAATTACACAGATCAGTCACTTTGTTTTATGTAATCATTATCCTGTATAAATATCTTTCATCCTTAATAACATTAGTATTCAATATTTTATGTAAATAATGATGGAATAAAAGAAGGGCATGATTTTAATTAGGACTGAGTATCACAAGCTACTTAACAATACAATACATATCATGATACGGTAATGCAATACAACATGTATCATGATACAGCTGTCAACAACTGAATTAATCATTATCTTCACATATTATTCTTTGCTAACCTCCACAGTTATAAAATTTATATAAAAGGAATGCCTTGATACTCCTGACCAAAGTTAACAAAAGGTGGATTTATAGTCTTGACATTGTATTTTTTTCTTTGCTACCTTTTTTTCCGCCATTTTAAAACATTGCAATTTGTAAGGTTATATGTAGAAGTTTCAAACAAAACAATGAAAATTATCTTGTACTGTATCACAATACATACATGGCGATATAAAACACGTATCATGAGCCCTTGTGATCATTACAATCAATGTATTGCTGTATTGTTACACCTCTAATTTTAATGTTGTAATGCTAATCCCTACCTGTGCATCTATAACAAACACAATAGCAGAACATCCCAGGATGATTGATTCTGTGTCAAAGTTAGCAGTGTCAAAAATATTGACATGATCTGACCCGGGAAGATCCCAAATCTGGAACTGGACAAATGAACAATTGGACACATCTGAAATAGAATTCATTCAACATTTTATCACAGAAGATATAATATTTATGTTTTATGCATTATCCCAATTAAAACAAGTAACCTTAATCAAAGTAACTAACAATAACCTGTATATATAATGATTATTTTATACTAAAAGAACATAACATCTAATAAACTTCAGAAATGTCTTTAAAAACAAAAATTTAATTCTGTTTGTAATGTGCCTACTGATTGGATAGAAAATAAACATTATGTCTTATAAACTGTGTTACCTTTAAATTTCTTTATAAAGCATAAACTACCCTAACCAAGGTTGTACTGTATAAATTAGGTAGCTATTAAAATTCACTCCCTAAATAAAAAATGTTACCTTCTTTTACAATTTTATTTGTAGCCTCCAAAAATAAGGTTTCATTTGGAGAGACCTTGTGAAAAACTACTTTCTGTATGGATGTTTTCCCACTCCTGATGAAAGAGAAAGAAATCATATAACTAGTAAGCAACTGCACCAAGGCACTTTCATTTTGCACAGCTTAAGAGAACAGATTTACTGAAACAGATACAAATTCAGTTAACATAAGGAGAATGAAAAGCTTAAACAAACAATTGCTGAGTACATCTAATCGTACATCTTAATGAACTTTCAGGTAAACATGTACAGGAATTAAAGTACATGTATGCAAATTTATGAATGTACTGAAACAAAATTACCTCCGGAGTCCCATGAGGAGTATGCGAGGCTTCTGTGAGGCAGGCATGGCCTGCGAATCAGGCTCGCTGTTATCATGGCCATAATGGAACTCTTTTGGAAAAGAAGAACCAAAAGCAGCAGAACTATCTGTCTTCTCGGAGTATGACTGCAATAAAAATAGCAAATAGTAAGGGCTTTAAGTTTAATCCAGTGGTTGGCACCGACTCAAAATCAAATGTTTCTTTACTGTTGCAAAGGAGTTTTACATAAGGTCGTTTACCTTGCAGAGTAATCTGAATGTATGTTCGTTTGCCCTGAAATGTGTTCACCCTTGATGCCATTTGCCCTAATTCTGGTTCGCCCAGAATCCATTCGCTCTAAAAATTGTTCGCCCAAGGTGTGTTTGCCCTAATTTATATTGATTTTTATTGAATTGCATGATTTTTTTCTGCATGATTTATAATTCACTACATCAGTACATAGGGTATTGATGAAAAAATAAATGCATGAAGAAAATGAATAATTTTATATGAGGATTTTTAACTCCAGTAATAGATGTTTGATATACTCATTAATGTTTTAGTTACGTAATGTTAATATATATATTCTCATTTGGGAATATGAGATTCTTCAAAAAATAAAATCACTGCTCGAATTATCAACGGCCTATTAACGTCTCAATTTCTCCAATTGTCTTCATGACAGAACACAAATTTAACGAAACAAATAATTATCGAAGGTGTTACCTAATTTTCAGTATTAAAATTATTTAAATTTAGATACTGTAACCCCCCCCCCCCATTCCTAGAGAAAAACGTCTCTATGCTATTCATTATTTATTGAAGATGAAAAACATTTTGTGCTTTACTGTTCAAAGTATGACCAATATAGATGCAATTATACTGATATATTTAATATAAACACATAAACTAGTGATAATCCCATTAGAAAAATTGTCGATCCTACAAATATTACAACTGCTAGAAGGATATGTTGTTTTTTGAAAAAGTGCCTTGACACCAGAAAAGAAAGTCAGCAATGAATACTTAGAAATATGTGAATATACTCTACATTATTTTGTTTACTTCACATTTGTCACTTTGTATATGTATGTATTAATCATGTTAATTTGTTTTATGTTAATATTATTTTTTGTTCATGTCACTGTACGCCGACATGGTAATTGTCAATCAAGTGAACTGAATAACTTATGAATAACCAAACAAAATTTACATCTCTGATAAAAGTTTGAAATTGGAAATAGTAATTTTTTTTAATTTGAAAGGAATAAAAATTCCTTAACCGATACATTAACAACATTAAAAAAAAGAAATTAAATAAAATATGAAGAAATGACTTATAATTCAACAAAAATGTTAAACCTCGATCATGTTTACAATAGGGTAAATGGGATATAGGGCGAACGGGGTTTAAAGCAAATGAGAATTATGGCAAACGGACCTTGGGAATGGACTCATGTGAACAGGTAGATAGGGCGAACAGACCCGATACCGAGTAATCTCAACTGAGATTCAGCTTAGCTTGACATTTGGACTGACACTTTCATAGGCGAAAGTGTCAGTCAAAATGGCCATCTATGCCAAATCTCAGTGGAGATTAACATGCCTATTAAAAACAAACTATACGAACTCTTGGAATAGAAGAAACTTTATATAGGCCTAAATATAAAAGCAAGTCACATGACTGAAGTGAAGGAAATAAACAACCTGCATCTCCTATGGATTGGTCATCCTTTTGATGGAAAGAAGGAGTTGTGTTTGGAAAAAGACATAAGTATCATTGTAGACATAAGTTCTCACGTCAAGTGCTTACACCTAATATATATCAAATATTATGAATGACCAGATATGATGAATATATTCTGATGTTTGTTTACATCGATTTGGCTTCTAGATCTACTGTTTCTAAGTACCATTTTCTAAACACAATTTGCTATATTTCTAACATCCTCTACAAATTTTCGATTATATTTTCACTTAAGCTGATAGCTTTATGCATCAAAATTTAATAAGAGAAATGAAAGTTGTTTTTGACAGCACCTACCATTTTGAGAGGAAACACATGTGATGTAGCCTCGGTGCAAAAATATATTTATGGAACCTTCTGAACTTGTGCAATTTCTGGAACTATAACAATATAATTTTCAAATAAAAATCCAAATCAAACGTAAATGGTACCTTTTTCATTGTATAGATGAATATTCTTGTTAAGTTTTCGTTAAAGTTCAGCGTTGAGACTATAATTCAAGATGGCGACTTCCATATCAGACTAACCCAAAACATAAAGAATGTATTTTAAAACGAATGATAGGAAAGTTTGGAGCGTATTTGATCAGTTGAACGACAAAGCATAGGTATGAAAATTTGGGTTTGAAAATCCGGAAGTTAGTTTGGAAGATTGTTAATCGTTGGTATCATTTACTGCATGCTAACTCCATCTCTTCATTGTCAAAATTTTCGCTTTGAATACGCCCAGGATCCCTTCGGCCAGCACGTCGTTAGTATAAAGCCCGTTTGACAAGGAATTCCATTTGCTTAAAGCAAGCAATCCTAATATATAGATCCATTCAGTGAAAGGGAATGCATGATAAATCGAGTTTGTACAATGACGACCATATTTGTTGAAAAAAATCTAAATTATGCAGGATAAAAATAAAAAATATAAAAATAAAAAGTGGGTATTGTAAAAGGAAAGTACAGTCATTGGATGTATGTATTCGTCACTGATGTCAAAATAGCGGCGATTGTTTACATTAGCATTTACATGTTTACATAGATAGAATGTTCTATCGTTAAAATGATAAATGTCCTACGGACCCGGTTTAACGATAGAATGCGTTCCATGTATTGTCAATGTAGCAAAGAAAATATGGGAGATAACTCTAACTCAGTGCATTTACCATGAAAAATCCCGAGAGTTCCGAATGTCAACATGGTGTGTAAATTTGAAACGAGTAAAAAACATTGGTGAAAAAGTGTTGAATTCTTCCATTAGATGGACTAAATTTTTAGATGAAAGGTATTTACA